TTTCCTTCCTCATTCGCGCACAGGGGTGACATGATTCATTAGAAGCTCTTCGCATTTGAAATGTTGGGGATTTTCTAGAAAGGAAGCGCTTTGAGACCAGTGTGGTGCAGCACTGAAGTGAGTGAGTGAAGTTCAAAGCATCTTCGTTTGTCAGGCTTTCTAAACCTCTGTTCGGTTGCCTGCAGTGTCTCCTCCTTACAGACTCCGCTCACATTTGTCGATGCCTCTCCCCAGCCTCTAATAGCAAGAAAGCCCCAATTAAACACAAACAAACAAAAAACAACAGCAACACCCAAAGTGTCACCTAGTAGGAGAATAAGACTTGATTCTGAAGTCGGAGGGATCATCATCTGCCTTCTAGCACAACCCCAGCCCCCAAGGCATTTATGTCCAGTGAGCTCTGACCTGCTTGTTTCTGTAGACATTTGCCCCCATCTCTTAGTCATTTGGCCTCTCCTTGGGTCACCTCAGACCCACCCTTTGTCAGCTATTGACTACAAGCACATCCTTTCAGAGCTCAGTGCCTCGCTGGCCTCCTCCATTTCCTCATCTTTAAAATGGGCTTCATCAGGGGACCCAAGGGTGGTGTGGAAAGGAGAGGCTGAGTTCAGAATGGTGCTGGCTCTGTAGTAAGCACTCACAAGTGTTAGCCACCCACTGCTGTGGTAAGGGATTGAAAATATCAATGGGGAAGCAGTAGCAGACCATGAAGGTAGGGGGAAGGTGGGGGGAGAAGGGGGAGAAAGAGGGAACACATCGCAACATATGAACCCACCCCACCCCCAGAGGGACGAACAGCAGAAACGTGGGTGAAAGGAGACAACAGATGGTTTAAGATTGGAAAATAAAAATATAATTGATCAAGGGTCAGAGAGGGTGAGGAAAAAGAGGAGCTGATCCCAAGGGCTGAAGGAGAAGGGAAATGCTTTGAAAACCGTGATGAGACGTCAGTGCAACGTGTGCTTGGACAACGAATGCACGGCTGGTGATAAGAGCTGGGAGAGCCCCCGGCAAAATGGTCTACTGAAAAAGAAAAGTCTGTAAATGGAGATGCTGCACTAGTTCACGTAATAGAAAACCGTATTTTAAAATGTCTTACATTTAGTGTTCTCTGCATGGGGCAGAAAGGCTCCGGGGGGGGCATACCCATCCGTTGTGGGCCAAAGTCTATGAAAACGTTTCACCCGGCTCCCGTCGGGTTTGGGAAGGTGGGATTGTTGCTTTCACGGAGGAGAATGCTGCTGTCCCAGCGGGCGCGGAGAAAAGCGGACATCTGAAGTCCTCTTGGGCCTGTGGGTTGCCAGGGCGAGTTTCACTTCCTGCCCTCCGGCTGGACCATAGCAGACGGTGTGGTGGGCTTGGGTGAGAGCTAATCAAGACGACACTGTGGGGGTGGCCTGGGGCTGTGTTTTTTAATTTGGCCTGGGAATCTGAAAAGTAGAAAGTCCCTAGCTTTTGCGGTGTCTTAAAATACGAGGCAGTGCAAAGACCAGTGGCCTGGGGTTAGTACTTGTATTTGGGGGTTGGAGAAAGATACTGAGCTGCTTCTGTAGAGATTCAGTCTTAGAAAACCTGTGAAGCAGCAGTTCTGCTTCCCCCTCCAGGGTCACTGCGAGTCAGCGTAGACTCAGTGGCAGGGGACACACACACACACACACACACACACACAGAATAGACTCAGTGGCAGGGGTCACACACACACACATACACAATAGACTCAGTGGCAGGCGTTACACACACACACACACCACACACCACACTCCCCACCCCGTTTGAAACGTCTGTGTTTGGCTCAAGTGCCTTCTCGGCAAGGTGGATGATAAGTGTCCTTCATGGAATGGAGTTGGAAGTCTGTCTCTGTGCTTCAGCATAAACAGGAAAGAAAAAACAATGTGACCATGTTTATGTGCAGGCTATAGGCTGCCTAAGGTATTACCAGCCACCTTGCAGCTCCAAACCCATTAGCTCACACGATGACTTCGGACAGTTTCATTGTTAAATGGGAGAGATGCCGGGCAAGATAATTTCATCATTTGAAAACTGGAAAGCACGTTCTGGTCATATTTCAACATGCCACAGTGTGGAAACTCTATAAAAAAAAGGAACTTGTTTAAGGTGCCCATGTGTAGAGGGCTGGAAGCTGATTCTCAATACGGCAGGTGTGGTCAGTATCCCCCAGGTCATGCACGTCTTTCCCTCTGGGTGCTGTCTGCCCAGCCCTTCACTCACAGTGACTCCTCCCTCAAAGGAACGTGAGCCAGAGGCTGCTCCCAGAGGGTCAGATGCAGCATGGGCTCCCATTCTTGTCCCAACACTTGATTGCTTGGTGACTGGGGGCAAGTGTTGTAAGCTCCCTGTGACCTGGTGGCTTCCTCGTTAAAATGAAAGTAAACAGCCGTTCATGGATTGACGTGAATAGCAATACCCACGAACACCCTCCCGGGATTTAGAGCAGCACTTGGGATGTGGCAGCGGCTAGGTTCCGTTGTAAGTGGCACAGTGGCGAGCCCTAGTGGCGTAAGGGTTATGCATTGGGCTGCCACCTGCAAGGTCAGTGGTTTGAAACCACCGGGTGCTTTGCTGGAGGAAAAGAGGCTGTCTGTCCATTGACAGTCTTGGAAAGCCTCTTTAGGGCACTGAAGTTGGAATGGACCCCGTGGGCAGAGGGTTTAATTGGGTTTGGTTTGTTTGTTTTTTTTTGGGGGGGGGGGGTTGTTATGTAAAGTAAAATTGAATCAGAACTGGAATATGGTTGGTGGGAAAACACACAACACAGGCAGGCATCAAAGAAGGTAGAGTTGAAGGTCACAGACAGGAGGAAGAAGAGAAGAGACACCCCCACAAAGCTCACCCCCACCGACCTCAGTGCCGCCAAGCTGATTCCACCCACACCACCTTGTAGGACAGTAGGACAATGTAGAACTGCCCCCAAGGGGTTCTGAGGCAGTGCCCTCTTTTCTAGAAACAGACTGCCACCGAGTTCTCTCAGGGGACCTTCGTGGCTCCGACTGCACTTACCACCACTTCCTTTCCAGACTCCCCTACAGAAGTCTGGATAAGAAGTAAACTGACCGTGCCACATCTGGTTGAATTCAAAGGGGGCATAGAAATCAATCCATCGTGCCAGTCATACTGCATAAAGCGACGTCTTACTGCTGCCTACTTCATAGCGCTGTCTCTCAGAGAGCGCTTTCCCAGGTACCAGGTGAGAAGAAGGAAGCAGGGAAGTCGAGTCGTGTCCCCAAAGTGACGTCGGGCAGGCAGACCTGCCCAGTCTGGGTTCAGAACGTAGGCGGTGAACACCCCTCACCCTCCTGCTTCCTGAAACCATTGACAGGGAGAACGCGGGCATGTTTATCAAATGTGGGCGTTCTCTGGGGCGACTAATGGGTATGTGGGAGGAACAGTCACCTGTAACTTTCAGTGGACTTGGGGAACTTTGTGCTTCGGATTGAGATTGTGCTCTGTGCCACAGAGTGGATTCTCGCGACTGTGTGAGACAGAGAATTGCCCTTAGGACCTTAGGGTCCTCTCTGAAGAAATAGTCCTTACAGTCGCAGACTGCCTCATCTTCCTCCCACACGCCTGCTGGTGGCTTTGAACCGTGGACGTCTTGGTTAGCAGCCGAGTTCTTAACCATTATGCTGCCGGGGCTCTTTTGTACACAGGCGGTTGCTTTTGGGTACCGTCTGTGTACAACAGAAAACACACTGCCCGGTCCTGCCCCTTCTTCGCCCGTGATTGGGTTAGGTTTGGGTATGTTCATGGTATGTTCATGGTTACCCACTGAGTACACTCCATAAATACTGAACTCTGAGTCTCTCTCAAACGGGGTTTATTCTGATGTTTGATGTGGGAGTATATGGTCTCTGATACCATTGAACAAAGAAATTCCACACAAGCACAAATAGGATTTAGTGTTTAATGTTAATTTTTCGTGTTGTATTTGTAACTGTATGCATACGTGTATATGTTCATGCACATGCACACACACACACAAAAGCAAAGATACGTCCAAATACTTTAGCGTTTCACACAAAATTACTTTTGTATCCATTAGCATTTCTGGTTGTCCCCTCCATGGACATTGACATCGTCCGTGAATTTCTGTGTGGATCCCAACATGCCACCTCTTTGGAATAGATGCCACTTAGGTAGTTAAAGAGGGTCAGCTTTGAGCTGAAATTTAGCCCAGCAGAAGTTGTGGAGGGCATGGAATAAACTGCTTATGGTCGAATTTGGTGAATATTGAATATTGTGTATATTTTTTAAAATACAGGCTATGGTTTGTATGGAATCAGATATTTGCGTATGAACGGACGTGAGGCTCGCAGCCCCTTCAGAAGAGACTTTGTAGAAAGGCCTGTGACAGATCTGTTGTCCGCTGGGCTCTCTTCAGCGTGTGTGATGTTGGGGTCTATTAGGAAGAGAGATGTTATCTGATCAGTCACAGCTGGGAAAGATAGACCTTTGTAAGGCAGAAACATGTCTGAGAAGGGAAACGCAAGACATTTCCCACTAAAAAGAGAAATAGGGGAGTGCTCAGAGTGTACCTGTCAAAGGGGGGAAACTTGGGAGACCTGGCAAAGCAAGGATGTTCTCTCAAGTTCAGTCTCGCACAGTGTCTCTGAATAAAGGAATTCCACCAAAGTCTGATCTAGAGTTTAATGTCAAGTTCCCACGTTACACACCCATCCTTACAAATAGGCAATTCCCCGTTAATCGTTAATGCTGTGCTGTTGCATAATCATACTTAACTCATTTTCATCATTAAGGAAAGCGTTCACTATCCCATGTAGCAGATCTTTCCCGGAAGCTAGTTGTCTTTTGTTCGTTGCGATCCAGCCGGCTTGTACAACGGAACGGAACACTGCCAGTCCACAATCGTCACCATCTTTGAGGCCATTGTTCAGCCACGGTGTCGCTCCATTTCATTAAAGACCTTCCCTGGGGACTGGTCCCTCACATACCCAAAGTCCCTAAGACAAAGTCTCACCATCTTCAATTTCCAGGGACCAGTGTGACCTGGCTTCTTGCGAGGCAGATGGCATGTTCTTTTGGCAGGCCGTGGTCTGAACCAGGATGCTTCGCCAGCGCCAGAATTCAAAGGCATCCGTTCTTCCTCGGGCTTTGTCAGTTACTGCTCAGCTCTCACGTGCATACAAAGCTGCTTTAAAACACCGCGGCCTGAGTCAGACAACCTCCACTCCTTAAAGTGACCTTTCTCCATGTTAACATTTTAAAGAGGTCTTTTGCAGCAGATTTACCAGTGTAAAATGTTTGGTTATGTTTCTTTTGACATCTGCTCTAGGCACATTGATTATAGATCTAGGTAGAGTGAAATCCTTGGCGGTGTCTTTGTTCACGATACTGCATAACCGTCCAGTGTGAGCATCACTGTTTTCTCTAGGAGGAGGGCCTGGTCCACAGCGCAAGCTGGAGTCTTTGATCTTCATCGTGCCAGCCCCCGTCTCTCCCAGCAAGCAAGGTGGTGGGGCCCACATGCTGTGGGTTGTTCCAGAGGCAACCTCCAGCCCTGATGCGTGCCCACGTTCTTCTTGATGGCGTGCAGTGCCGACAGGACGCAGTCCTGCCGCAGGCACC